TTGCAAGATTACTACGTTAACATCTTTGGATTTTTTATTAAAAGGAATCATAAAATAGGAGGAGGAAAAAAATTAGCAGATGCACTTAGCAAGAAAACTGCACCAACTTCTTTAAATCTTGAAAGAAAGTAATAATCTTAAATTAGAAGATAGAAGCGTATTAGCAGTGCACTTTGCAAAAGCACTATGCTAATAAATATTAAATAAAAAGTTAAAAAAAACTTTTGATTTTAGGAGATGCACTTTGCAAGAATAACGTGTAGGTTTTTTCGAATCTTAAGAGATAATAATCTTGGATCAGAATGAAGAAAAGCATTAGAAGATGCATATTGCAAGAACACCACACTGACTTGGATTCTTAAAATCGAATCAAAGGAGAAAAGCATTAGCAATTCATTTCGTATGATCAATACATTACAGTGAAACCTCCATAATTGAATTCTCTATAAATACACATTGTCTCTAAACATACATTCAATTTCAACCCAAATATATATATTTATATATGACCTCCATCAATGTACTTTTTCTTATTGTTCTCAAACTACACATTTTTAATCTTGGTCCCAAGAGCGTGCATTTATAGAGGTTTTACTGAACTTTGGATCTTAGTTTGAATATTTGGGCCAAAGAAGAAAAAGCATTTGAAGTGCATTTTGCAAGAACATCACTCTGACTTGAATATTTAACACAATATTTGGATCAGGAGGAGAGTTGAAAACTTGATCAAAAGGGGAAAGCTTCTTAACAGATGTACTTAACAAAAACACTATGCTTATTTCTTTAATCTTGGGGGAAATGATCTTGGTTCATAAAGAAAAGCATTAACAAATGTACTTTGCAGGAATACCATGCTGATATGCTGATTTTAGAGATAATTATCTTAAATCAGAATGAAGAAAAGCGTTGGCGGATGCATCTTATAAACCATCACAGACTTCTTTGAATATTTTGTAAAAAGCCACGCTTCTTTGCACTCAACATTCTGTGCCAAGATTGTAGATCATGATCGACAAAGTATAAAACAATATTTTAATACTTTAAAATTTTGTGAATGAACTACTTTTTATGCCCTGATAAAAAAAATTCATTTCATAATTTAGTATATAATCTCGCTTGAATCCTAACTTCGAAATCTGTTTAATGCAGGCCGATGTCGATCAATCTAGGCCAAATGATTGACAAACCTGACACAATGTGTGCGATTTCTTTTAGTCTTAATGAAAATAAACTTTGGTCAGAAGAGGAAAGTGTTAATAGATGCATTTGGCAAGAACACCATACTGACGTCTTTGAATACTTATTATAATAGTATTGAACCAGAGGGAGAAAAGACATTTGCAGATGCACTTTGCAAGAACACCATATCGACTTATTTGAATCCTTATTATAATAGCAATGGACCAGAGGAAGAAAAGGCATAAGCAGACGCATTTTGAAAGAACAGCATAGCATTGGACCAGGGGCATTAGCAGATGTACTTTGCATACACCGCGCTGACTTTTTTTTGGATCTTAATCAAAGTAGCTTGGATCAAAAGAAGGAAATGCTTTGGCAAATGCACTTACAGGAGCATAATGGATCTTAGTTTGAATAGCTTGGATTAGAAAAAGGAAAGTATTAACAATTACACTTGCAAGAACGCTATGCTGATGAAAGCACTTTACAAAAATACTATAATGACTTCTTTGATTCTTAGAATAAAATTGAAGCAGAAGGAAGACTATAAAATCATCAAATTTGATGAAAAAATCTTTTATTAAGATAATACAGATTATACACTTTGTAGAATATCATTATTAATTTGAAAATTTAATCTTTATCTATGCTTTTGAATTTAATATTTAAAATTAAGTGCAAAAATCTCTTCTCAATATTATGAATTTAGAGACTTAAATCAAAAATCAGATTTCACAAATCTGCAATGATGACTTATTTAGAAATTTTAATTAGGTGGTTATTGAAAAACTTTATTCAAAGTTTAGAAAATTATTATTATAGTTTTCTAAAGGATAGCTAAATTCTTTCTAAACTTTAGACCGAGATCTCAACTATCTGATCAAAACTTTAAATAGTTTGCGAAATTAGTTTATTGTACTATTATAAATGTCGCGCTTGAAATTAGTGTCTGCTTGAAGTAGTGTTCCGCAAAAGATCCGGTCCGCACGGTCCGATTCATGCGGAGCACTATTACTATCTTGAAGTGTAATTTCAAGCGTTTGAAATTAAACCTGCCAAAACTTGCTAACTAATGCATGCAGGAAGATCTAATTTCAGGGGCTAATTTCAGTCAGGCTTAACTTCAAGCGCTTGAAGTTACAACTTCAAGCATATGCCAACTTCAAGCACAACATTATTACTGCATTATCTTTGAGGATCAATGTTTAGGTAAACGTCAATAATCAATGTTATGGATTACGATTTAGCAATCTAATCATTGTTATGAGAAATGATCTTGGGGAACCCTAACAAAAACGGTACGCAAATCAATTCTTGTCTATCTCATCAAGGCAGCACCGAAAATTTGGAATTATACTTTTGCAACTAGGTAATTATTGTTATATGTTTACTAAATCTGGAAAATTTTTGCTTGTTGAAAATATAAATATCATAAAATCAATTAACTTGATATCTAAATTTATTTTTAAATATTTGTAATAAAAATAGATAACGATAACTTTTTTGTTAATTAGTGACTTTAGTGGGATTGTCACATGGAAAAACTGATGGGAATTTGAACCTATCACAGATGTGATATGTGATATGTGATATGTGACATCATTTATGCGGGCTTACGAATAAATTATTTATAAATACAAATGTTTTATTTATGCAGATATATATTTAACTTTGCAAATAAAATAATTTAAGTAGAACAAAAAAAAAGAAATAAAAATACAATAAAATTAAGTAAAGCAAAAATAAGTAAAACAAAAATAAATAAGTAAAACAAAAATAAATAAATAAAATAAAATAAAAAATGACACTTTCAGTGAAATGATTCTTTCAATTAATTTTGCATTCTTGGTGTTTTTCACCAAAAAAAATTATATCATCGGCAATTGTTATTTTTTGCTCCAATATTCAAAATCCAAATAATCTGAAATGTCAAGTAGAGCAAGTGACGGATACAATGAACTCATTGAAATTTCACGAAGAAATAATGTATATGAATTTGACAATGCAGGAATCGAGGATAAAAATTTAACTAAAATTCAGGGCTACGGCGTTGTGCAGAAAGCTTACTTTCGAAAGCTGGTGGCAATGAAACATATTTCCAAGGAGTTTATACAAAGCGATAAAGAAAAAATTGATAATATTGTACGTATAATTGCTTTACATTTGACTTTTCTAATAAACTAATCAAAATCGTATAAACTCTTGATAGATACACGATATGAGTAGAATAAGGCATCAGTGCGTGATACAATTCTTTGGAATTTGTAATGGTGATTATCTTATCTTTTTTTGAATGTTACTAGACTATGAATTTAAAGAACAGACTTAATCGCAGACAAATTAAAATATGCTTACTAACGTATTAAACTAAATGGTATCATAATTTTTGGATAAGAGTTGAGTTAGAGTTACGTAAGATGTAAAATTGAATGTTTATTAGTTTAAATGTGTTTTTTTTGTATCTAATCTGTTGGCTGATCTTTTCAAATAAAAAATATGCATGCAGTACTTGGTAAAATTGGCAATTTGGCTCAACTGGGTAAATGAGACGTGCCGCGCGGCACGTGCCAGCCAAATCATCGTATTCGACAATTTGCCCAGTAATCCAAATTAGCGTATTCGACAATTTGCCCAATATTCGTTTATCCGGCAATTTATGATCATGATTGGCAAGGAGTTGTTATCGACTGAACTTTAATTTGAATAAACATGATATATCGTAACACATAAAACGTGTAACACATATAAAGGTCATGAGTTTGCTGGATAACGAGTTCAGTAATGGAAAAAAGGGTCTCTTTAAAAGACCCCTAATAGAATTTATGAATTTTTTATTAAGATTTCATAATTAGTAATGATTTACAATAATTTTTCTTATTTCCTTTATAAGATACAGAAACGAAAAGTTACTTAATAACCATAGAACATGCTAATAATGGTACTCTACAAGATTATATTTTATACCATGAAAATAATTTGAGTCGGGAGGAAAAATTGACAATTGCAAATGATATAGCACATGGATTAAAATATTTACATGATATAGGAATCCTTCATAAAAGACTTGTAAGTTTATTTTTTGTTTCTATTTTTTTTTCTATATATTTTACAAAAATATTAAATATTATATACATATATATAAGAGTACAAAAATGATTTTTATGGATAATAAGAAAATAAAAATATCAAACCCAGCATTTCTAGAACTAAACATTGAAGTTTCATCATCAGTATCGTTACAAAGAGATATAGTGTTTTTGGATCCGGAGGTCATAAAAAATAGATACTCGGAACTTACTTCAGCATCAGACATTTACAGCCTAGGCGTTATAATGTGGTCAATATCTAGTAGAAAATTTCCATTTGAAGGCATCACTGATCAAAAAACATTGGTGGACCAAATTGTGGTGAAAAATGTGCGCGAACAACCCGACAATAACATTTCACCTACATATAGCGATTTGTATCAAAGATGCTGGTATTTTGATAGAAGTAATCGACCTACTATGGATGTCGTGTGTAAACAGCTAGAAGTTATGCTACAAGAGGAACAAAATCCAGATTCAATATTAGGTGTGATTATTCTATTACAGTTGATATTGATAAATAATAATGGTTACTATTTTGATATTTACGCAAATAGATGCTCCTGAAACTTCTCAACGAAATATTGAAGCCTCTGAAATTTCTCAACGAAATATTGAAGCCTCTGAGATTTCTCAGCAAAACAATAACGATCCTGAAATTCCAGGTGATTCTATATCTTACAACGGGAAGTCCTCTGGAAAAACGTCTTTCAGAAATATGTTTAGAATAAAATCTACTAGAAAATCAAAGGAAAAGCCTCCTGAAAAATTAACTAGGACGTCAAACAGGAAATTCTTGAAAAAAAAATCTTTAATTAATTGTCTTAAAATGAAATTTAAAACACGAAAAAAGGCATCAGAAAAAGCGCCAGAAGAAGCATCAGAAGAGACATCAGAAAAGAAATCAAAAAAGTCATCAGAAAAAACATAGTGTATCAAGTGTTTTGCAATGTGGTAAGTGATATTTTAACACAGTGACCATAAGTTCTTATTAAAAAGATATGTGATGCGAGAGATCCTTATAAATCATAGATCTCACGCCCTTTTTATTTATTAGGCTATATCCGTCATTAAATAGAACATAAACATTAGAAAAAATAAAAAAAAAACTTCGTATTATGCTGGATACATAATTAAATAGTTTTTAACTTTCACGTGTAAATTAAACAAATTTAATTGGCGTAAAAAAAAATATTTTTATATAATGTATTTTTGTAAATTTTGTATATCAGTGCATTTACATAGCTGTGTTACTTAACTTCTAGCATCACATATCCTATTTTTACTGTCGCTAAGTTGGACCTATGATTATTAGGAGAATAAGAAATACTGGAAATTTGCAATAATGATGAAATATGGTTTAAGGTTTTTATCGTGATAATTTAATTAAAATGGTAATAATTTTTAATAATATAGACATTATCGCTAGAAAAATATTTCAAAGGTGCTTTCTTCTTTGATAATTAAAGCTTCTTAATCTTATCCACTCTTCAAACACTACAAAAATTCTTATCAAACGTAATACAAATCGAATATAATCATTATTATACATTCATTTCCAATTAAGCTCTGTATTTATATTTTCTAGATTTTATATTCAAGAAAGCTATACTAACCTTACAAGAGTCATTTAGGAGTAATTTCAAATCAGTGAACCCAGTGATCATCATACATTACTACCCTAAAAAATTTCGCTGGCTATGTGATCTTATTAAAAAAACTGTTTCGCAATTTAGTTTAGGGTTATTAGAGTCCCACCAGTAGATCAGTATTTGGTTTAAAGGGCTATAGTTATGTAAAATTTCACGAGGAAAATTTTTTGTTAGTACGCAGATGGCACCTTCAATGGGCAAAATTTTAATCTACATGCGTTTTTTTGTAGTTTTGATTTTTTTGCGCTTCTTTTACATTACACATGATCTTGAAATTTGATTTAATTAGGGTGGTGATTTAACTACTGTTGAACAAAACTGGAGTTAGGTAAAAAAGCATAATTTAGGACATCATGATATGTTATATGTATTGTTGATCACTGGCCAATGTTCTTGAAGTGTTCCCAATTTAGATTTATTCAAATACTTTTTTAATTGTTAAGTTTACTTTTAAAATTACAGGCCAATATTATATTAATTAATACAGGCTGTCTTTAAATCTTTAATTCTGTTCGGAATTTGAGGAATTTCAATTACCGTAATATCAGAAAATTAATTTTGCTGCATTCTTCAAGTTTGACTAATGCTAATAAATCATTAATGATGCCGCAAGAGACGCGATATTCAACCAGAGCTTTGAAATTGCGTGAATTTAATGTACTTATTGTTTTATTCTTTTTTTTCTTGTACAGATTATCAAAATCTGCATTTTCCTATTGAGTAATTCCTTATGCACCACATCTCATTACTGAAAAGGTATTTATCTATACCTCTGGAGCAGTTAGTATTTGGCATGTATCATTAAGGGAAAATGTTTTCGGATTTATCGGAAGTAATTTAGTATACATATCACTTAAAAAATTTTTGAGTATTCCCGACTTTTTGTAATGCATTCGACTTTCAGTTAAATTTGATTTCCGCACGTTTTCGAAAGTTAAATTTAATATTTTCGATGTATGCAATAGTGGTAAATCCCGATGCATTTTGAAGTCAGCATCAACTCTTATTCGGCAAAATTTTACCGAACAACGATTATTGAAACTCAAGCTTTAAAACAATACATGTTATGCATGCGCTTCTTTACAGTATAATCTTGAAGTATGATAAATATCAATACCGCTTAATAATTTATATATGTACATATTGACATTTCGTGAATATTTATGCTGCAAGTGCATTTTGTTTGCAAACATGGAGAACATTAATCTACACATTTACAATTGGCAACTCAAGTTTAAATATAAATATGTTATAAGTGGGAACGGAACTATAATAGGGTTTGGGATCCACTTAGATTAGAGCAAAATAAGTATACTAAAAATCCCAACCCTAACCTTAAAAATTCCGAATCAACTTAAATCTTATTTCCACCTACGACATAACAGTACATCCAATTTGTTTATTAAGGTTACTAATGGTTCATTTATAATTTGTATATACAGTAAAAACAATTTTTTTGTGATTCAATTCAGGAATATTTATCGTCACGTAGTAACCCGTTAATTTGTGAGGTATATCCTGTGCATATAAAAGATATAAATTATAGCATCATGCGATCTGCATATATATCGTATCTCGATTGTGATTGGTTAGTTCGTAGAATAGAAGTTAGCAGGTTTTTTATTTTTGAAAATATTTATAAAAATTTAGCACTCACGTAGAAAATTTAGCGCTGAACATTTTTGCATAGATGCAGAAGGTGATTGCATTAGTAAAAGTTTAAGTTATTTACAATTTCTGCTTTTTTTTCTTTTGATTTTTTGAAGATATCTCATAATATTACTAAAACAACTAATATTGATATAAATTAACCAATCACATGCATGCCCTTCTAGAACAAAGACATGCATATGGGACTTTGTCCGGGACAGGCTTGAGTTGATCCTAAAAAGTCCGTGTGAAGTCGACTCAAGGACCGGGTTCGACAAGGTTTTTAGTAGCCCTACTCCTACTATCTGTTTTGTACCCTTAGAAAAAATGCTTTAGTCTACTATTTATTAAGAAATGTTATCCCATTTTATATATATTTAATTTTAAACTTTAAATTAACTATAAGTATCGACATAAAATTTGCCTTTTAAATCTTCAATCTCTTTTGATTCTTTTGCAAAATAAAATCTAGTCATCACGACGAATTGATGAAATCAGAGTATTTTGCTATTTGTTTTTTGACATTTCTTATTGTGAATCATATAGATAATGTCTAACCTATCTTTTCGCAGGAAGATGGGTTAGATGTTATCTATATGATTTTATAATAAGAAATGTCCAAAAACAAATAGTAAATGACGCACTCCATAGTTAGTCAAAATATAATTCGCCGTCGCAATGTTTTCCTTTATAAAATATAAATTCGCCGCCGCAATGTTTTCTTTTATAAAATATAAATAATTCTAAATAGTTCTGATAAAAAAAAAATAAAATCCGATAAAATTGCTTAGAAAACTGGATAAAAATAACCAAGTGTGGGTTATAATTGCGTTATTATTTTTTTTTTTACTTGATTTGCATACTTAATTGTCCAACTATATACCTTTTAAGTCACATGATTAGATCACATGATAGGGCATGAATTTTGCAAAAGAGCATCCCTGGGATGCATGCCCCTGAGGCATGCCTACTCTGCAGGATCTAGATTAATCCCTTAAATTATTTACAATTTTTATGATTAGCAATTTAAGTTCATATTTTTATTTGCAAAGTTATTTATTGATTTACGCATAAAAAATTAACAATACAATTTTGGAAAATTTACCGTCACACATAACAATCTTTGACTCATCCGATTGGTCCTTTAAATATAAAATTTGCTAACTTACATATTTACAATTAGCAATTCAGGTTCATGTATACGGACAGGCTCTCTTTAATGCAACCTCTAATTTTTGCCCAAATATATATTAACCTCTAAAAATTCGATTTTCCTAAATGAGTTGCATTCAACTACATATTTGCTTTTCTATTAATATTGTTGCCAATAAAATATTTATCGTTACATAACAAATATTTTTTATAATTTTTTTTTAACATAAGTTTACGTACTTGCACTTAACAATTCGAATTTATATGTGTATTTATCTTTAATTCATTTCATCCGTATTATCGCTGTTTTCAAAATCCTGTGTCCCTACACAATTGACACCTAACAATGGAATCAATTGCAGAATCAATTTTCAGGCTCAAACATAGTTTGATGTGGTCGGATTTGTATTACCGGGTTTTTATTATTTGGTAATATCGATTTTCAAATTAT